CGTCCATCTGACGGGACCTCAAGCAGGCTGGCTGGATCCCAGGTGCTGCTTTGCTCTCATGAGTATTGGCTTGAGGCTGGGTCCTGTGAGGCGGAAGTTAGAGATGCCCCACGTGTCCAGTTGTTCCACCCTGAGGCTCCACTCATCCTCTCTCCCATCACTTCTTCCTCTTCCTCTCTCTGCGGTCTCTTTCCCTTGTCTCTGGTCTTACTGAGCTCACCACCTGTGTTAGTCTGGGGTGACTAGAGAAACAAATCCAGAGACACTCCTATGTGTATACGAAAGAACTTTATATCAAAGAGTCATTGTATGTTAAGAAAACGTCCCAGCGGAGTCCAGATCGAGTGCATAAGTCTGATATTATACCATATGTCTGATACCAGTCTATAAATTCTTGCAATGATGCCGTATGCAGGGAGATCACAGGCCTTTGGGTGGAAAGTCTTGTGAATCCAGTGGTGGTGGAAGCATCTCAGTGCTGGCATGTGATCTCCACGTGGCTCCTCCAGCTCCAGGGCTCTGGCTCCATCAGCGTAGCTTCCTGTGGCTCATCAGCAGGAATGTCTGTCTCACAGGGAGGGTGTGTGTCCTGCCTCCAGGCAGAAAGACAGGAGTTCTCAGAATCCTCAGAAGGCCATGCCCCCACACAGGCCACATTGGCTATGATCCGATTGACAGGCTAGATTCCACCCCTTCTCACAAGTAGATGATACAATCGCCCCACCAGGGAAATGGCGACTTGGCTGTGGAGTCTGGCTGCTGGGGACAGTGGGCACCAAAAGGCACTGGACCCCACCTGCCCCCTGGGAGCCTGCCCAGAGCCCTGAGCCCTGCTGCTCACTGTGCCCCACTGGGGGGCTTCTTCAGCTAGGCTGGCTTCCTTCTTGCTCTCTTGCTGGTGGTGTTCAGCCTTGGACTGTACATTCTAGTCTCCAAGGTTCAAGTTCCCATGCCTGGGGGCCCTCTGCCTCCCAGTGTTCAGGGGCAGTTTGTCTGGGGAGGTTTCCCTCTGACCCCCTCATATCAGCTAGCAGGGGAGGGTGGCCATGAGGAGGTGTGGAGAAGAGTGTGCCCCTCACCTGGGGTCCCCACAGGATCCTGCACATCCGTTGATTGAGGTTCCCCTCACCCACTGCGTCGTAATCACAGGTGGGGAGTGGAGCCGCAGGCCTGTAAGGAGTGGGCCTTGGGGTTGTGTCCCCAGCAGTCTGGTGGGAGCAGGACACGTGAGCCCCAGAAGTGGGGTGCAGTCTTTGGTGGCCTCAATAGAGGTAGCAGCCCTAGAGCGGATGAGGGGCCCTCTGCTCCTCTTGCTTGTGGCTCCCAGATCCTGCCTACAAGAGAGCAGGTCTGAGTGGAGCACATTCAGAGATGGCCCGTCAGGCTTGCACGTGAGGTCGGGGGTCTGAAAAGCAAGCCTGCCAGAGACGATTGGAGACAACTTTGGCATGACGGAGGGACCTCAGGGGACAGAGGTCAGTCAGTATAAAGGAGGAGAGCTGCCACAGGAGAGATAGAGTGATTGATAAATGCATGTGATGCCTTCATCCAATCTGTCTACCCATCACCCATCTGCGCATCCATCCATCCATCCATCCACCATCCACCATCCACCATCCACCATCCACCCATCATCCACATCTGTCATTCATTCATCATCTGTTTATCTGTCTGTCCAACCATCCACATATCATCTGTTCACTCTTCACTCATCCTTCTGTCCAACCATTCCTCCATCCATTATCTGTCCACCTCCATCCATCCATCATCATCCATCCATGCATCATCCATCCATCTATCATCATCTATCCATCCATCATTTCATCCATCCATCCACCCATCCATCCATCCACCCATCATTTCATCCATCCATCCACCCATCCACCATTCATCCACATCTATCATTCATTCATCATCTGTTTATCTATTTCTCCATTCATCCATATGGCATCTGTTCACTCACCTACCACCTCTTCATCCTTCTGTCCAACCATTTCTCCATCCATTATCTGTGTCCGTCCATCCATCCATCCATCCATCCATCCATCCATCCATCCATCCACTGAGAAGTGTGTAGCAGAAAGGTACAAAATGCTGACTTAGGATAGAGGAGATGAGGTCCAGACCCAGGCTCTCGCCAATGTCCCTTGTCTTCTGCGGGGTTCAGGCCCTTTGTTATTACTGGTTAGGTGCCCTGAGTTTCCCGGGCGTGAAGTGGGCACAGTCATCCTCAGGTGCCTGTGAGGGTTGGGCCTGGTTGGCGAGTTGCAGGCAGACTGTCTCCAGCTCAGGGGGCGGGCACAGGACGCATCTGGTCCCTGACTCCGCTGATCTGTCTGGGAGAGTCCAGAAAACTCTCGAGGGTGTCCTGCCAGCCTGTGATGGCTCCTGACCCTTGCCTGGCTGTAGGTTCCAAATCCAGCCCTTGCCCCCACCTCCCTTCCCTGGGCAGGAAGAGACTCCAGCTCCCCTCTGCGGAGGTGGGAGGACTTGGGGAGCAGACGG